TTTGACCAGCATGGAAATCATGTGTACTTAATAAACGCTCCCGTATTTATTAAAATTTAGCAAAATATTATAACTTTATCTTCCAACTTAATTTTCGGAGACATCCGGGCCCTTTGAAAATCCGGCAGCTGTTTGATGCATTATTGCCATTTAATTAACCCTGAACTACTCGCACGGCTATAACCACACAACTTGTCGCATGTGGCCTACAGCGACTCCAATTTGTTAAGGCAAATATAAAGGTTTGATATTAAGAAATAAAATATTCAAATAGTTATTCTGGGAGTATATTATTTGAACTATAACTCACGAAAAAACACAACTAAAATTAACTAGAAGCCCCTCATAGAAAAATTATGAAATATCAGTAGGACCCATTAACCACTTCAAACTTCCAATTTATTATACCAAAATTTAATTGGCAATGAATTTTTAGAATTATTCTAAATTTCGTACAAAGTTTGAATTTTGATTAACATGATTTTCGTTGTAAATCGTTGTGACACGAAATAGTTAACATGAAACATGTTGTGCTACTGATTCAAAAATGTTTACCGTGTTCAGAAGATGATCGAGATGTCGTTGACGATGAGCTCGCTGAGAGCATTTCTGAGATGTCTGTTTGCACTGCGACGTTGACTTTCATTTTCAGTTAGTTAGCTTTCTTATGTATACATACATATGTACATCTATGCATATAAATTGTGTGTACATACATATATAGCTGGCACTCTCAATGCGAACCTTTAGACTAGCGCGAGTACTTGCTCGCTCTAATATGTCTTATTATTATTGTTGTTTTTATTTTATTAGACGTATAGGGCAAAAGAATACCAACCACATGGCCTTTTATTCCAAATTCTTAAGAGGCTTGCTTAAGGTGTCTGCTCGAGCACTTCTTCTTTTCTTATCAACTTTTTCAAATACACTTTGCTGTTTAAATATTTATGCTTGTACATGATCTGCATTCATCACCTGAACTCAATGTGCGTATGTAAGCATGTATGTACATATGTATGTACGAATGCAAGATTACAGTTCCATCTTCAGCGAATATGGGCCAAACATATTTGGTTATGCATAAATATGCTGGCTCACTTTCGTTTGCATGCGTTTGTTATGCACAAATATGTGAATCTTTTTTGTTTGTTTGTTGTTGCCACCATACGAATACAGGTAAACAACAAAGTCTTCATGCCAAAGTCAAATTCAATTTTTATTCACACGAACATCCCCGCATTTGTCATTTACTTAGATCACACACTTTTCGTGGGGATGACGTCGCCTCAATAGTAAGTAAATAGTAAGCAAATGGGGTTGTTTCTCTGCGATTCTGCGCTGTCAGAATTACTTAGTGTTGCTTTAATTTACGTTACTGATGTCACTACGAATTTCGACTTAGCACGGAATATTGTATTATTTAAAGGTACGAGTTAATATCACAGAATTTTTCAATTTAAATGAACAGATTTGAGATTCTTTAGTTTCGCTGCGCAATGTTATTTTTTAACTGCCAAATGACCTGATTTTTCGTCGTTTTTGTCGATGCCCAAACAAACAAACGGTTTCAGACAGACAATGGTGGTGGCCCGCGACAATCAACCACTTTGCTAACAAGAGTAGCACACACTGACGGAATTGGGTCGCACAGCAAGCAAAGTGCTTCTACACCATTCTCAACGATTTCGGTTACTCACGCGGCAGAGCTGTTGCGCAGCAGTTGCCCCCAAACTTAAAAACAGATTAACTTGCAAGCACTTTTCAGTGTAAAGAAAACCCCTCCACATATTGCAAAGAAAATTCAACAACAACATTAAAACGTAGTCTTCGCAAAACAACGGCTAAGCACTTATTATATGTATGTATGTATGTATGTGTAAGTAAACAAATAGACATATTCACATGCCCCTGAACATAACATTTACAACATAAACCTACAGTGCTAACACAATAACAAACCTATGTATGTATATATGTGAACTGTAGTTTTACGCACTGCTAAATAACATTTAAATGGAGCTTTTGTGGCTAGCGCCAAAAAGCGAAGAGCTTCTAGACAAAAGAGAAACAGAGTTCTCTTATCCAAGCAAAGGAGCGAGTTTTCTCTTTTGTATTAAAATGACATCGCAATCTCATAAATAAAAATGTATATGTATGTACATTAGGGTGGTCCAAAAAAAACTACCCTTGTTTTTTATTTAAAAATATTTAGAGGTCGCTTAAAGCGTTCAAAAACAATTTTTCGTAGAAATGGTATAGAATCATTGAAAATATATATTATTCAATAGGCAAGAGACTTTAAGGAATAATACCCAATTGCTCGTTAAATGCGCGCTACCACTGTGAAGGCCCTGGGTTCAAGCCCAGTTTCGGAACATCAAAAATAAAAAATATTTTTTTTCTAATAGCGGTCGCCACTCAGCGGGCAGTGACAGACCTCTGAGGGTATATCTGCCATGGAAATAGCTGCTCACAAAAATACAATCGCCGTTCGGAGTCGGCGTAAAACTGCAGGTCCCTCCGCTTTGTGTGACAACATAAAGACGCACGCCACAAGTCAGAGGATAATCTCGGCCAAACGCTAACATATGTGTAAGCGCCAATCTATTATTATTATTAATATTAAATATTTTTTTTTTAATATTAATCTTTTTTATGGGTCCCACAAAAACCCCAAAAATTCAATTGGGAATTATTCTTAGAAGTCTTCGGAAGAGAGATAGATTTTGCCGATTGAAACATATTTAGGGGATTTACAAGACGTGTTAACCGTCGTAAAATCTTAAGCTTAAAATTTGTTTATGTAAAATAATGAGTAAACTTTCAGACCACCCTAATATAATATGCCAGCTTTGGTAATTTATTTTATTGGACAGTTTAATGGAAATTGCTTTCGAAGCTTTACTTATTGCCACTGTTAAGCTTTTATTTATGACATACATACAAATATATATGGATGTGTATAAAGCCTACATAAATGTAATTTTGTATATTTGTATATAAGTGTTTACGTATGAGTGTATATACTAGTTATATAGGCGCCTGGCATTGAACGGATTAAAACTAAAATTCTATTAACGCAACAAAAAAAGATACAAAAGAGCAGAAAGAAGTGCGATGGAAGGCCGCTGTTTCTACAAACATCATACAAATATTTTTGCCAATTATAGTATTTTGTTTACCGCTGCTTTCCACTTTTTGCTGATACATATTGCGCAATGGAGTTGGAATAAGAAATTTAAATTAAAAAAAACAAAAACAAACACCCTTCGCTTGCTTATTTGTTTATGAACTCAACAGTGAAACAGCAGTTGCCAAAATTTGGCAATAAATTAAACTGAAGTGCTGTTTTTGTATTTAATTAGTTACGTCATTCTTTAAAAATAAAAATACATATATTCCCAGCGCAATAACAAGCGCGCAGCTATAAAGGGGGCAAGTGCATATCGTCGTTTAAAGTACAAAACCGCGTATCAACATAATGCAAAACCTCGTATGTAAAGTTGCATAAACTATTTTGTAGAGAGTAAAAACACTCATATTTCAAAATGGTTCCCTCTTTTATAAAGCAACCGTTTTTTTGGCTAGTATATTTCAGGGCGAATGGCTAAGGCTTGAGCCAAGAGCTTCGGTGAGTAAATCAAATTTTTAGCAAAACAAGTCAGTTACGCGGTTTTGCAGAACGACGATACGCGGTTTTGTACACTTTAAACGATGACATGTAAATTGTTGATAGCATAATTTAAGACAATTTAAGTTCTTACTATACTTTTTTCTTTTATCTTAAACAAATTTGCACCTTTTTGCATTTTACACCACAAATTACAAAATATATCCCCTTTATTCAATGCGCACACAATCACCACCCGTTCTGGCAACGGACTCTTTTGAGGCCAAACCGATGGCGCAGCGCAGTGTAAACAATTGAGTATGATGAGTCGTTGTATTCTTTGAACTGATAAAAACTGATAAAAATGTTGATTGCTCACTCGAGTGAAGTTACAGATATTAGGATGGTACTCATATCTGAGTGTTTACAAGTTATCTATTACACCAAAGTCAATTCAAGTGTTAGTCTTATAAAAATATTCGAAATGCTAAACAAATAGTTTTTAGTTTCTGTTCAGTTTTTGTTGTCGTTAATTTGTTCAAAACAGTGAAAACTACAAGACATATTTACATAAGTATATAAGAAGTACAGGTGTGTGCCCTTTACCCTATCATAGCTTTTTGAGTTAGTTTAGTTCTTTAGTATTTTGGTACATACATATATGTAAGTTCATAATAATAGTTATGCAGATGAAAGTAATGAGCTAATTCACTAGTTGTACATTTGACAATACACATGGAAAATGAAACAAGCACTACGATGATTAAACTAAACGAGTAAAGTAATAATCTAACTAGAAAACAAAACTACATACGAACATAAAAATCAAACGCGTGAAATAATCAGTTTTCAAAATATTTAACATCTTTATTGGTAGAAAATAAAAGATAGTATGATATAAAAGTTTGATAAATTCGTAATATGCTTGTCAAATGCATAACAGTTAACTCACTATTTGTAAATCTATATTGGCTCGCCTCTCTAACAAATCTATGTATTTGTATCTTATGCAATACTGCAAAAACAATACCGATTATAGCAACTTACATATGTATATATGAAGAATGTATACATGCGTGGGAATGTAAAAATAATACATTTGTTTAGTTTTAAAAACCATAAGGTCACAAAGTATTCACAAATTCTAAAGATGTAATAGAGGTGCGCTGCTGGCGGGCGATGTTTTTTGTTATTTAAAAAAATCTTTTGAAAAATGGCACGCTACAGTTGGCTAATGAGTACAAGCTCTTTAGCGTGCTTACAAGAAAGCGGTAAAGCGTAAAGTACATCAGCATATTACTAACGTCCGCTAAAAAGTCTATTGTCCGCGCTATGAATCGTGTAATGGGCGCACACTTGCAATCGAGGTGAATACAAATAGCCAACTCACCTTTAGTCTGGCCGGCACACTGTGCAGAGAGCACCGTGCCAGGCGGACCACGGAGTACGGCCTCCAGACAACGTATATTGTCACGGCAAGTGCTGATGATCTCCGTCTGGAATTGAAAGTAAACGATTACACATTACATTAGATATGTGGCACCCTGTTCTACTCCTTTCTAACATCCCATGTAAATTTGTA